CTGTGCTTTAGCCCTTATAAAACTATGAGGTAAAACAATTTAAAGATCTGATAAAAGCCAATAAAAGAGAACTCAACATTAATTTAACCTGACATGAGATGATTTTACAGACACTGCAAGGCGACTCACAATGGCACATCACCTTGAAGCAGGTGCCTGGCAATTCTGCATGCCTACACCACATGGGCTCTGTGACCCCTTCAGCTACCCATTACTGTTCTCTAAGGAATGGCCATGAAACCTTTGTTCATGCAACTTTCAGTCATTATCTGACCCTAACACATGATTTCTGCAAGAAATACATCTATTCTTCCTTCCCCTCTTAGTTAATTAGCTAGGGACAAATAAGGAGTACTCAACAAACAGGCACTAAATATCACACCACTCATCTGTATATTTCTCCAGATGTTACATAATCCATGATATTTTTAAATTGTTACTGAGAGAACTTTAAAATTGTAATTCTGATTTTGAAAAATAACTTACAAACTCCCAGGAAAATGTCTTCAAACTCCAACTTAAGAAACACTGTTTTATAATGACAGCATCTTGCCAGAGTATCTAGAAAGATCTTAGACATCTTGTATCTATCTAGCTGTAAGTGCTCTCCATGCATTACCTCTTTAGTCCCCAAAATAACCCTATAAAGCAGGTACTGCTCTAATGTAAGAAAGCCAAGCCTTGACGAAAGTATCCATGTGATGGAGCAGCATTTGAACTACCTGATTCCAGCATCGCTAGACGCTGACAAACCTGAAGAGCCTGGGCAGAAGACAACTAGCAATGGGCAGTATGAAGCCAGGAGAAACCAGCCAGGTGGCAGCAAGAAATCACAGAAAGAAAGATGGCATTCTGAAGGAAGAAATCACAGGGCTTAGTGACAAAGTGGATGGAAAGGACAAGGTAAGTCCTTGAACCTGTGAGAGGAAGAATGGGTGTCCCAACCCCTCAGGAATGGTACTGCTGGGAAGAGAAGCCAGTTCAGGAAATAAGATCTGAACTGAAATGCGGCAAAGGAACTCATTCCAGGTGGGACTAGACAACCTCTTAACAGAGCACAGCTGGAAATGCTCAAGTCATAGTCACAGAAATTATGTTTACAATACATAAAACTTACTTCAAAAAGATAAGACAAAGGTGCCCAGAACAGAAGAGATGGAGAACAAAGCCTGGCAAGACAAGACCACTAAATTCTGAAGAACTCTGTGTCCTGACCAGTTCGAAAGACGAGTGTAGAGAATTCAGACTGTAGAAGGGGAATTACAGTGGCTGAGAAAAGGGGCAGCAACTCATGTGAGGTGTTACTCATGCAACAAGCATCTAAGTGCCCACTAGGTGCCAGATGCTGCCCTAGCTCCAGCCATGAACAAAAACATCCCAACCCTCATGGGGCTTACGGACTAGTTAGAGAGACAAAGAACAAGTAAGCAGGTACACGGTCTCGAATTAGTCAGTCATTAGTGCTCTGAAGGCTAGGAAAAAAATAAATCAGGGTTTGGGAAAGAATGATGGGAGAGGACAGATATTTGGCATCATCAAAGATCAACTGGACTCGACATAAGAAAAGGTGACAAGAAGAAACTCAGTTTTTTAAGCTATAAAGACCTGAGAACATTCACTCAGAATACGTGCTGCCTATGAGACGAAGCACTGTGCCAGTGCCAGAGAAATCACACGAAAACATGTCTTTGGAGGTATTCAAGAATTAGTACACGTCATCGAGGGGGAAAGTGATGGTGTCAGAAACACTCAGAGGGGGAGCTGAGAATCTTAAGACACACAGCTTCACCGCACAGCTGATCATCACTATCTAACCAGCTAGACGGCCCTGAAAAAAATCACTTCCAAACTGAATATTCTGTGCCTGTACTGTATTAGAAAAGGCTAGATGACAGTGATCTACTAAATTAAAGGTAAGAGAAAGAAGCAGAGGAGGAAGATTTGTATCAGACTCAGCAACACTCATTCAGAAGATCAACAGCTGCTTAGGGAGCAGGACCTCCTGGTGCAGCCTCTGCACTCAGTGGTGAGCAAACACATGCCGGCACCTCAAGAAGGTGAAAGTCAGATTGTCTCTCTTAATGCCATCCCAAAGGGATCAAGCTGGGGGGAGGGAAATGGGGAAGACTATCACCCAAGTGGGGCCAGGTTAACCCTGAGTGTCCTAAGCCTTCCTGCTCAACAGCACCCTTGAGAGGCTGTCACAGTTGGAATCACTACTGAGGATGGTGGTGCAGTTTTAGCAAAAGGTGAGATTAGGTAACCATCAGGTTTGGTAACTGTGCTGTCTGCTCCACTCTACACTCACTGTATCCGTACTAAAGTCATCTGTCTCCCCACAAAGCTGTGAAGAGCTGGTAGCAATAATACCTTCTTTAATCCCTGTATTGCCAACAACTAGCAAATAATGAAGAGTAAATAAATAACTAAGGCCAAGTTTTAATGACAATGAATAAAATAGGAGGAGTTAAATAACTGAGGTTTTGGTGGGTGTGAGAAGCCTAACAGGATGGATTCCTGCTAGGTGTCCCAAGCTGTTGAAATTGGTGGACACATGATAGTGGGGTGACCAGCAATTCTGCATCTAACCAGTTGGACAGCCCTAAAAAAGTCACTTCACTTCTGAGTCTCAATATGTAAAATGAGGGGGTTGCAACAAATCAGAGTTGCAGACCTTTTAGTGGATAGGAGATGCTTTTCATTATCCTGACACCTAAAGACTGTATCTTTGCTACTGAGGTAGGGGGTTCAGGCTTCCCCTTTGTGCTTCCAAACAAATTACTGAGGACCCCACACAGCCAGTATGGCCACGACCACAAGGGCCTTGCAGGTTTGTCAGCAACAGGCCCACTGAAGCAGGTGAGGAAACCTCAGGGAGGGGTTGGGAGAGGGGCCAGGGACAGCAGCGAGCAGTGGTAATGAGTTAAACCCATCTCAGAGGTAAAACAAGAGAGACTGACTGTGAATGAAGTAACTGTGCTTTCAAGGTGGTTGTTCAGGTCTGGTTTTTGCACACCCAGGCACCCAGACACAGTAAGTCAGGAAGAAACAGATTTTACACAATCTAAAAACTACAACTCAAATTTGTAAGAGAAATAATTCCCTGAAAGCAAGACCACCTATAGCTTTTGCAAAACTTGTTTATTTACTGTATTTACAGACTACTATCAGACTATTTTCAGCTTCTGAGAAATTTCCATTTAGATCAGTAGAAATACCTGACACTTTCAAAACCCATAATTTCCCATACCAAGCTGAATTCCCCCCAACATTACAGGAAAACCCACAAACTTTGCAGAGGGAGTGAAAAGCCAATTCAGTTCAAGGAAATCTTCCAGTTCTACAAAAGAAACAAATAAGCAAAAACACCACAAAGGCCACTGAAACCTTTCTAGTTGAATAGCTTTTCACTCGATCTTTAACAACTTCATTCTACACCCTTGAAAAGTATTACATTACATAGGCTTTATTTCTGACAACAGCAATGGCTAAAACTTCTTACAACTTCGGGCAGTAAGTGAGCTTATGACTTTGAGGCCAAATTTAAGGAAGCTAAAGGCAGACAAAACCATGTGTTTGAAACTGCGGGTAAAATAACAAATGCCTGAAGGAGCTGGATGGCTTTTCTACTTCTAAGCTAAAAAAAGCCTGGGGGGCTCTGCCAAAATCCTAGTGAGGATTATCTCCAGGATTCCACAAAGCAAACCATCCAATTCCACACGAACCAAAGAAAGTTAATCCAAAAAGAATAACAACAAGAAACATTAAGAGAAATACTGTTCTGCTTTTTAAAACACTGTCAGCGCTGCAGAACGCATCGGGCCATTCTAACAAGCCAGAACATTTGACTAGTGAGTGTTTCTGTGACAGTGCGGTGGCTTTGTGCTAACTAACGGACGAGCAAGATATGAGTTCCGGTGCTCAGGCCTCCAGGTCCTCTCCCCAACTCCCAGCAGGCTAATCTCCCTACTTCCTGCACACCTTTGGATCACTGCACGCTGACTTCCTGCACACCCTGGATTTGGGATACCTTCCTCCTTAAGAATTACTCACGCTAAGCGCCCGACGCAAGCTCAAAGGTTAAAAGTTCGCAGTCCCTCCATTAAAGCCCAATCAGCAGGTGTCTCTTGACAAGTTCGGCGCAAAAGAGTGATGAGTTTACGTAAACAGCTCTGAAGAAGTAACGCATCACTGCAAGGACAGAAGTCAGCAGGCTGAATGGGGCCACTGCGGCAGAGGCGGCTACAGGGCTGGCTCGCCACACACAGCCTTGCTGACGTTCACCGCGGCCCTTCCACGCAACAGGTCCACGCAGACAGGTTCCGAGAGGCGGGCACCTTGGGCACCTGCCCACAGCTCGTCCCGCACCTTTCCTCTCCCCTCACTCCCCCCTAACTTCGCAGCCTGTCCGGGAGCCAAGGCAGGCTGGCCAAGCTACAGCTCTTCGGGGCACTGCCCACCAGAGATAAGGCCCGGAGCACATTCCTCCGCAGATGCCCAGATAAGTGCAGTTCACTTACGCGCTGCCCACCTCCTCCCGGACCTGCTCTGGCCAAAAGGGAAATTCGTCCCGAACACCGGTCGGGAATGAGGGGCCAGGGGGACTGCCCCGGGAGCCGGATGCTGCGCCAGGTCCTTCCACCCGGGCACAGCCCTCACCTGCCAGGGCACAAAGTGCCAGGTGTTGGGACCTAGACATGTATCTAAACTACTTAGCCCAGAACGTTTCCCCAAGCGCACAAACCTTCGCTCTACTTGGGAAACATCAAGTCGCTCGCTTTGTACAAAATGAAAAGGAACTTTTACTGCTGGGTAGGCGCGGTAAGGAAGAAAGAAGCAGGTGAATGCTGTAGAGGTGGCTCCTGCGGGACCGGCCGGCCCGGTCTGGAAGTGCTAGAAGGGGAGAGGGGAGAGGACGCGGGGGCGGAGGCGGGGGCGAGGGCCGGCCAGGCTCGGCCGCGCTCCCGGAGGGCGGCGCGCAGATGAGGCCGGACACTCACCTCGGGCAGCTCGCGGAGCTGGTTGGCGTCCAGCAGCAGCTCCTCCAGGCTGCGGGCGTAGCGGTAGATCTCCTCGGGGACGTAGAGCAGCGAGCAGTGGCGCTTGTCGATGGTCTCCACATGACGGTTGCACCGCCACAGGGGGATGCAGTGGAACATCGCCGCCCCCGCCGCCCGGTCCCGAGCCGCGGAGACCCGGGCTCTGAGCCCGACGCCCGGCGGCTCCGCTCCGCCAGCTGCCCACTTAGTACTCGTTGGCTCCCGTGTTCGCTAAGCGCCTCGCGCCAGGCTTCGCGGGCCCAAATGCGTCCAGGAACCTCAGGCGGGAGCCCCAGCCGCGTCCCAGCGCCCCCGCCCGCCAACCACTGCGTCCCCTCCCACCCTGTAGTCGCGCCGCCGGGGCAGCTACTGCCGCGCTGAGCTTCCTACTCGCGGCTGCCGAGCGACTGCGCAGGCGCGCCAGTGCGCGCGCGAGGGCGTTCCCCGACCCCGGGATGCTCCGCTCCGGGTTTTCCTGGCGACCGGGATCGCGAGAGGGTCGAGAAACCCGAGGGTCCGACCCCCAGAGTCCCCCTGCTCAGCCTGGGACTGGGGTCGCGTCTGGCCTTCCAAGGAAGCCAGACTCCGAAAGAGCTTGGGGCAAAGTTGAGGCAGAGGAGAGGCGGCCTGAGGGGAGCAGAACAACTTTGATTTTTAGTTTTACTTAACTCGCTCTCCTCTCTTGGCTCCCCTTCCCCAAAACAACTTTCTCTTCCGGGGTCAGGCAGGACCGCCCCGAAGCGTACCTTGCGCGCCGCGGGCTCCCGTTGGCACGAGACAAGGTGTAGTTTCTGAGGTGTCTCCGTCGCCCTGGCCGCCGCTTTCCGTGCCTCTTGTGTGCTTGCTGCTCACAGCGGCCGCAGCCGCAAGCCGGCCGCCCCCCGCCCGCACGACGCCGCGGCCCTCGTCGTGCCCTCTGGTGCGCGGGCACCGCCCGCAGGGGGTGTGCCTGGGAGCGCATCTGAAATCATCATTGTTTACATGCAATGAAATAATAACAAGAACCTCTCCCCATACCACCAAAAGCATAGGAGTCAGAGGGTCTGCGAGATTCTCACATAAATGGATGCACCCCAACAGGAGACCAAATGTAAAAAAGAGCTGGCAAAGGTGATTTCTGCGTCTGTTCCAGCCTGTCCAGACGTTGGCCGCCCGCGATATTCTGGACGTGAGGAGGGAGGAACGGGGAAGGTGGGACAGATCGCTAGCGAGCTGCCTGGTGAGCATCCTCCATTCAGTTCCTGCGAATCTTCTCCAACGCCCAGTATCTTGCAAAGGATAGATTGCAGCCCAGCGAAAAGTAGCTGGGGAGGACCGAGGAGGCTCACTATTGGGTGATAACGACTATTCCCTAGCCCCTGATTTATGTTCACGGACTAGCCAGAACCCAGAACTACCTCTCTTTTACTATCTTACAAGAATAAAACTGGCTTCTTCACAAAAGGTTGCTGACCAGGTCAGAGCCAATTGCATTGATGGGTTGTATTTTCAGGAGTCTTCTCTAAATCCCCATCCAGCCGCCCCCCAGTCCTCACACCTTCCCCTTCAAGTTACTCAAACACCAGATTCCACCTGTGGCCTCTGCCATTCCACCACCCACCGCGGCTCACGGGACCTCAAGCTGCGAAAGCTAAAATCTGGAACCACGGAATCTGCATTTCTGCAGGAGACTGAAAGCTGAGCATGCTCCGTGGCCGCCGCAAATTTTGGTCTGAAACTAGTTTTTGCTAAGCATAAGCGACTCCGAAGAACTCTTCTCTCAATTCCACCTGGGGCGGTTTCCCCGCAGGTGAGTGGTGAGGAGGACACTTCATAAATTTAACTCTACTAAAAGGGATCCTTTCTTCCCAGTCAGTGAAGATGGATCTGAGTACCAATGCCTTGTCCCTTTCATGTATACCCCAGCATTATCACCTTAACTGTAATTCCAGTCAATCCCTCAACCCCATCTACTCCCCCCTCTGTTGGCCCTGGTCTGATTCCCACATCCTCCTAGAAGGCCACCTGGACTTTGAACCTTAGCCATGCCTCCTTCATTCTTGCATTCCAGAAACCCATTCTGTACCACTTATAGGGAAAACTGGTTCCTGAGTGACAGACTGAATTTGGAATGGTAAACAAGTCACTGGCTTTGCAAGTTTTCCAACTATTTAATATGAAGAAGGCCTGGCTTCCCTATCTTAGTCTTCTGTTGACTCCTAGAGATTATCACTCTAGATTATTTTAATAAGCACCAAATGTGTTTTAAAGATGTGGCTGTTTTTTTAAAAAGTCACACCTCAATAAACATACCCTGTGTGCTTCTCCATGTGTTACAATTATTTCTGTACCACTTTCATCCCAAGGAGATTGTGACCTCTTGGACAGCAGGTACTGTCTCACAGGACCACTCAACTAAGCTGCTCCTGCATTCCTATAGATCCCTGCAACTACCAAAGTGTCATATGCAAACTAAATGATCAGTACATTTGTGTTGGCTCTGTGGGAAGTCGGTGGCAGAAATCTTGACTTTCCTTGTTGCCAAGGATCTGCCTAGAATATGAAAGAAAAAACACTAAAACACCTTGTCAACTGGAGAACAGGGAACCAATTCTTTGTCTTTCTGAAGAATTCTACGGTTTCCCTGTTGCTATAATTTCTAGTTTCATTTCTTATGTACGAAGGAGTTTGCCTCAATATAAGCAGTTTAAAAGACAGTCTAAATTAATTTATTTTTGGAATAGTACAATTAATTCATTTTCAGTGTGAACCATTTTGACAGTTTAAAATGGGTTTAAAGAGGTCTAGTTTTGAACTCTGGCTCTGCCACCTAACAGCTTTGTAGAATCAGGTTACTTAACTTTCATAAATCTCAGGTTTATCTCAAATGAGGACAGTGGTCCATGGGTTATTATCAGGATTAAATTAGATGATATCAGTAAAGTGCTTAGCAGAGTGTCAGGCCCACATCAGTTCAGTATATATTTGTTATGCTCGGTATCAGCCAGCCTTCAGAATGGCCCCAACTATTCCTGTCTCCTGGTTGGTCTGTGTAGTCAACTTCTATGTTTGTCTCCCAGATCACTCACTTTGGGAAAACCAGCTACCCTGTTGAGCAGGTCCACGTATAAGGAATTGAGGACTTTGACAACAGCCAGCAATGAACTGAGACATCTTGCCAATAGCCATGTGAGTGAGTAATCTTGGAAACCAATCCTCTTATTTCCAGTCAAGGATTCAAATGACTATAGCACCAGCCAATAGCTTAATTGCAACCTCATGATAGACCCTGGTCTAGGACCACTCAACTAAGCTACTCCTGGATTCCTAACCCTCATAAACTGTGTGAAACAATAAATGTTGGTTATTTTAAACTGCTGAGATTTGGGGTAATTTATTATACTGCAACAAATAACTAATAAATGTACATACTATGCACCAGGCATGGTGCTGTATTCACAGAATCAGATAGGTCTTACCCTCATGAAACGTACACTCTAAGATTAGGAGAATGAGATAAATGTTCAGTTAATGTTGTGGTTGTAATGCTGTTGTTAATATTTGAACATGGTTGCCATCATTAATTATTTTTAAAGTGAAAGTCCAAAATGATAGCTGTCAGAATAGGGGCAGAATGGGGATTCAGAGGTTACAGCATGTTAATTTTAAATTGAGGCAATACCACCTATCCATGAAAATGACTAAAAATAAAAAGATTGATAGTGTCAAGTGTTACTAAAGATATGGGGCAACTGGAATTCATGCATTGCTGATGACAGTGAAATATGGTAAAACCACATTTAGAAAGTAATTTGGAAATTTCTTATAAGCATGTACTTACCCTAATGATCCAGCCATTCTACCCCTGGGTATTTACACACACACAAAAAGAAAATATATGTCTGTACAAGTGTTGATAGCAATTTTGTTAATAATAGCCAAAAACTGAAACAATCCAAATATTCTTCAACCGATAAATGAATTAAACAAGGTAGACTGTAACAAAACAATGGAATAAAAACAAGAAAGAACAAACTGTTAGGACATATAACAATGTGGATGAATCTCTAAAATGTTATGCTGACAAAAGATACAAAAGAACACATACTATGTGATTCCTTTTACAAATATATAAATTCTATAAAATGTAAACAATATAAAGTGATATAACCTAGATCCATGGGTCAGATCCTGCAGCCAGGGGTTAGAGAGGAAATGTTCAGGGAAAGATTGATGCCAAAAGGCATGAGGAGACTTTCTGGAGTAATGAAAATATTCTCTATCTTGATTGTGGTGATGGTTATATGGGTATATATAGTTATTAAACTCACCGAACTGTAGATTTAAAATGGGAACCTTTATTATATAAAATTTATATATCAATAAAATTAGTTTTAAAAGTTAGCAAATAGTTTACAGGTAAATGTATCCAACAGGTAGTTGTAAACTACTTCTAGGGCTAGGAGTCTTGTTATGTTTTTCTTTGAGTTCCCACTATGTGCCAGGCATAGGGTTAATTTACTGTGGAGAAAAAAGGAACAAGAAAGAGCTTTCAGTTCAGAAACAACGTTTTCAAGGATATTATAACATAGTACTATTTTTTTCTTAATCTAGAGAGTCTACTCTATTTTGTCCTATAAGATAGGCAAGTCAAATTTTATTTTATGCAATGCTGGACAGGAAAAAATTTGCCTAAGAATCCCAACCTCTGGGAGAGGAAGCCTCTGCTCCTCCAAATTTAAATGTAAGGATATTTGCTAGAGATTTATAACCTTGCTGTAAGGGAAAGACACCAAACAATTCAAGAAAGCTAAGAGCCTACATGATTTCATAGGTAAATTAGCTTAGAATTCAACAATGTTTCTAATCAGAAACAGTCACCACCCTAGAATCTCTTCTGATTTCCTGTTGCTATTAAATTAAAATTCTATATCCCATCCCTGCTTTTTATTTGGAATGTTTAGCCCATTTTAATTATTGGTATGGTTGGATTTAAGTCTATTATCTTATTATTATTTTTATCTCATACTCTCTGATTTTTTCTTCTCTTCCTTTCTCATCGTCTTTTGAGTAAGTAAACATATTTTATAATCTCATTTTGTCTATTGGCCTTCTAGCTGTAGTGGTTACTGTAATATGCATCCTTAAGTTTTTGGTTTACTTAGAGTAAATATACCAATTCATGTAAAAACATAAGACTCTTGCAGTTATCTAGGTCCATTTACCACCTCTCTGGTCCTTTATGTTATAGTTCTTAAGATATATTGTATTTACATATGTTATAAACCCCACAACAAAACTTTGTAATTTTTCCTTAAATAGTCATATGTATTCAAAGAAATAAAAAAACAGCCTCTTACATTTACTCACATGTTTATTTCCAGTGTTCTTCACTCCTATCTGATCTCATTGCTCTTTCCCTTTTAGTGAAGGTCTTTGGCAGCAGATTATTTTAGTTTTCTTTAATCTGAAGTGTCTTTATTTCACCTAAACTCTTGAAGGACTTGTTCAGAGGATATAGAATTCTGGGTTTGATAATATTTTCTTTCAGTACTCTAACATTGACCCATTTTCTTCTGATTTCCATTACTTTTTACAAGAATTCAGCAGTACTTCAAATTGGTGCTAACTTGTATGTGTCATTTTTTCTCTGTCTGCTTATAAGATTTTCTCTTTATCTGGCATTTAGGGCTTAAACTATTTCATGTCTATATTTATCCTGGTTATGTTTACTGCACTTCTTGACTCTATAAACTTTCACCAGATTTAGGATATTTTAGCTGTCGATTCCTTAAAAAATTTTTGCACTATTTCTCTTTTTTCCTTTGATACACCCATTTTACAAATGTCAGACCTTTTTGTATTGACCCACATATACTTGAGGTTCTGCTTCCCCACACATTGTTTTCTCCTTTCTGTTCTTTAG